ACTGAACAATGCCACATACATTCACATCAAATATTAACTCAGCGGTAGCGTTACACTCATGGGACACTGCACTTATTCACAATCACAAAAGTACATTATTTTGCATGTGCTTTAAAGCCTTGCCGGTTAAACATTTAATTTGCGTGCTGTTCTGACGTGCACTTTTTCTGAGCGTGTACACCTGAAGTGCGCGCACACACACTAAAAAGCCTGTCAAACAGCACCTGAGTACTAGACTGAGTTATCTTTCTAGTCTGATTGCGATAATAATGTGAAAAACACACAAAGTTGGTTATGTCTAAAGTGAAAGTAAAAAGTGAGAAAAAAAAACAGATGCGTGCCTGTGTATTAGATTTGTGCAGCTCTTAAAGGGATAGTTCTCCCAAAAATGAAGATTCTATCATTAATTACTCACCCTCATGACATTCCAAACCTGAAAGACCTTGGTTCATCTTCAGAACACAAATTAAGATATTTTTGATGAAATCCAAGAGCTTTCTGACCCTGCATAGACAGCAACGCAATAGAAATGTTCAAGGCCCAGAAAGGTAGTGAGGACATTGTTAAAATAGTCCATGTGACATCAGTGGTTCAACTGTAATGTTATGAAGCTACGAGAATACTTTCTGTGCGCAGAGAAAACAAAAATAACGACTTTATTCAACAATTTCTTCTCTTCCGTGTCAGTCGACACACGTTCACGAGAGTATCACGACACATGCGTGTGGTGCTGCTGATGCAGGAGCCGGCGTTCTGACGTAGAACTCGCTGGTTCTCGTGTCTGAGCTGGAGTCATGTTCAGCGGGAAACTGCTAACTTCAGAACGCCGTCCTGCGTATAACTCATAGCCGAAACATGCTGCGACTGCCTCCATAACCTGCCCATAAACAAACAGTAAACAGCTCTGAGGACATGTTTTAACATCCAAAGTAATAATATTCTTTATCTTTATGAATAAAATAATTTATTTTAGGCAAAGCATCAGGGTCTTCCATCACGCAAAAAGACCGATGCGACACTCGTTTAGGTGATTCATACGAGCCCGCCTTGTGTTGCTTTGCATAAAATTTAGCAATATACAGCACAGTAACGATTTTATAGATAAAATTAAATGTACACAAACCTGTATTTTACCGAAGAAATGCATCAATTCGATGGCGCTTAGAACCAGTGTTAATTTCGTTGACGAATAATTTTCGTCATAATTTGTCAACGACATTTTTTTCACCGACGATAACGAACTAAAACTCTTCTTGAATGACAAAAACTATGATGAAAATCTATTGATATTTTCGTCAATGAATAAAAACGAGATAAAAATGTTAGGGAGGGAAGATTTGGGAAGAGATTCATTTAGAACGAATCTGCTGCATAGGGACATGAGCTAAAATACACTTGCTGCACGTCGCATAAAACGTACAGAAATGTCAATATGTGGGAGTAAGAGAAGAGCAGACGTGGATAAATCTGACGACGCAAGAGAAAACTCAATTTGGTCCGGTTTTCAGAGCGCAGACACTGAAGCATACACACACAGAAAGCGCGTCTCACAGCGCGCGAGTACTCTTTCGTGTCGCATGAACGGAGAATTACACACAAAATTATGTCGAATTGTAAACACAGTTGATTACGTCTTAAGTGAACGTAAACAGCAGGGAGTTGGAGTGTTTGATAGTATTTTGGGTGCTGTCATCATATCGCTACACCATACAATTTGCAGAAAGAGAAAGCTGAAAAGGTTTTGAGGTTAATGTGTTACAAATAAATCAAGCACAAAGCTTGAGATATTATTTTAACCTGGTGAAATATAAATGACAAAGCGCGTGAAACTATATTAGTTTCTATTTTTTTAAATCCATCTGGACCATAGAACGTTACTCTCAAAGCCTTGACATCCGGGTATCCGGGAGATAAGTCAGTATACACATACAGAAAGTGCGTCTCACAGCGCGCGAGTACTCTTTCGTGTCGCATGAACGGAGAATTACACACAAAATTATGTCGAATTGTAAACACAGTTGATTACGTCTTAAGTGAACGTAAACAGCAGGGAGAACGTGTCTCAATACATTGCATCCATTGCAGGTGTGCTTTGGTTTTAAAGGGACAGCAGCCTAATTTAGTTGCTATTGTCCGAGTCATTGATGTCAATCAGGCAACTAAAGAAAGACAGAAAATCAGGCACTGCTCTTGACTGAAAAACTTTAGTAGCCCTAAAGATTAATCTAAATTTATTTATGAAAATAAATGTCTGCTTGAAAGAATGAAGAATATGGTAAACTGGACCATAGAACAGGACTCTCAAAGCCTTGACATCATATCCAGGAGATAAGTCAGTAAATTCGAGTAAAATCACAGGCTTCGCTTATCCTGTGCGAATGCACCACACGAAATTCAGAGGTGGGGGGGTAATTTCAAAATCACATAAGGTCCCCAGATAATACTAATCCCGTGCGAATAGGGCTTATGACTAAAACTAAATCAAAATTTGCTGTCAATAAATCAATAAATAACTGGGTTACATCTGACCCAAGCGGCAACCTTCCGGTCTCTCTCTTGAATCCAACAGAAAGACAGAAAATCAGGCACTGCTCTTGACTGAAAAACTTTAGTAGCCCTAAAGATTAATCTAAATTTATTTATGAATAAATATGTCTGCTTGAAAGAATGAAGAATATGGTAAACAGGTTGCTATAAAAAATGCATAATTAGCCTATATAACCATAGGTATTTCATTGAAAAGAAGACCATGTTCTTGTTCTTTATGAGAAGTGGTTTTATTTAATTTTAACATAAAGGCATGTTGTGTGTCACCGCCGTTAAATCGGTGTCTCATAACAAAACCTTAATATCAAACCTATATAATGAGTTTGGAAATTTTAGAGAAATGCTTAATAAATGCATTACGCTGTAACTAAACCCATTCGATTTTAGCCGACTAAATTTACTCTAGATTTAGTCTACTAAAATATTATGATATTTAGTCAACTAAAACTAAAAACAATTCAGATGACTAAAATATGACTAAAACTAAATGGCATTTTAGTCAAAAGACTATGATGAAAACTAAATCAAAATTTGCTGTCAAAATGAACACTGGATTTATGTAAAAAGACCCAGTCAATAACTGTATATCATTTTTCGAGGTTTTTGTTTCCTGTGCGCCTTTTTATCCATCTTTCGCGAAGAATGGAGCTGCGTTGGAGTGGTTGATAGTATTTTGGGTGCTGTCATATCGCTACACCATACAATTTGCAGAAAGAGAAAGCTGAAAAGGTTTTGAGGTTAATGTGTTACAAATAAATCAAGTACAAAGCTTGAGATATTATTTTAACCTGGTGAAATATAAATGACAAAGCGCGTGAAACTATATTAGTTTCTATTTTTTTAAATCCATCTGGACCATAGAACGTTACTCTCAAAGCCTTGACATCCGGGTATCCGGGAGATAAGTCAGTAAATTCGAGTAAAATCACAGGCTTCGCTTATCCTGTGCGAATGCACCACACGAAATTCAGAGGTGGGGGGGTAATTTCAAAATCACATAAGGTCCCCAGATAATACTAATCCCGTGCGAATAGGGCTTATGACTAAAACTAAATCAAAATTTGCTGTCAATAAATCAATAAATAACTGGGTTACATCTGACCCAAGCGGCAACCTTCCGGTCTCTCTCTTGAATCCAACACGGAAGTGACTTAAACTGCAATTCATCGACTGGCCGCTAGAGACTGGCCCCAAAAGGGAGTCAAATCCCATAGACCCCCATGTTAAAATGCCCAACTTTACAGCAGAAAAAAATGTTTACAGCCTGGTACAAAAAGTGGTTTTGGTCTATATTGCTAATTTTGCCCATCATGACAACTGTGAGGGGGTGAATTTTTTTTATAACTCATCCATTTAAATTATATTAAGCCTTAAAGTTCTGAATAATTAAGGGCGTGGCCACTTGAGTGACAGGTGGATTGCTGTCACCACTGTCGAGCTAGGAGGCCGTGGTTTCAGCAAACAGCGATTATCCAGGAGTGACAAAATACAATATATTAAAAAACAAGGTTAAAACTAAGAACAACAAAAACTACCAGATTTGCAAAACTTTGCAAATATGTTCCAGATTTGAGGCCATTTAATTTAATTTGTGTTGTCTTCACAGTGTTTCACATCATTTGTCAGACTTGAGATATGAAGCAACTAAAGTAATTTTTATGTAAATCTCTTATTATAGTTTTTTTTTTTTTTTATAGTTAATGAATATGTTGTTGTTGTTGGCTAATTTTCACTTTCATAATAGTTTTAGTTAATGATAATGATGATAACTTGACAAGGAGCTCCCATATGCAACTTTTTTTCCTTTACTGTTATAGTAAAGAAAGACAGTTATATCAGTACTTCAACTTCTGACTTATATCTGATATCAGATTTACCCACATTAAATATCACATAAAGCAAGGGGAATAATGGCTGAATAACATTGCTGTGCTTTGGACTGTGGTTTGACTGAAGATGTAAAACTGGACTTTCTGTGGTGTTGCGAATCACTGTTAAACTAACGTCTGCAGTTTGTGTGCACATTGAAAGAGCTTCCAGAACTTTGTGAGGCAAACTTCCTGTTTGTAATTCTTCCAATTATCCTAGGTACAGACAGAAATGATGTGAACACAACACAGAGCCTCATTTCCCCCGTTCAGTCCATAAATATCAAACACAGGGGTCTGCTCCATTGTCAGGTTGACTTGCTTTCCTAATGTTTTCCGTTTTCTGTCCTTCCTTTGCTTTTATCTAGTATTCATGTAGTCGGACTGGTTCTTTATCAGCAGGTGGTAGTGGATTCATCATTACACTAAATGTGAGACACATACTCTCCAGTGATCAAAGCAGCTGTCTATACTATCAGCACACTATCTGGCAACCAAGACCACTTTGAACCAATGAGCTTTTCTCTCCAAACTTCTTTGACTAACGAGCATCACTGACCGACGCCTCTGTGTTTCTATCTTTAGGGGCCACAAAAGGAAACTGGAGGAGGCCAGAGAAGATAACGCCGATAATGATGATGATGATGGCTGCTCCAGTAAAGACTCCAATGAGGATGAGGAGGGCAGCAGCTCGGAGGCTGATGAGATGGCTGCTGCGCTGGAGGCGGAGCTAAATGATTTCATGTGAGCTGATTGGATGACGATGCATATGAACTATTCTGTGTTCTCATAAGGTACCTGAGACAAAACATGCGTTTGTGTCGCTGTTATACAGCGCAAGTAAGTGTGTGCGTGTGTGTGTGTGAATAAAACGAATGGATTTACAAAGTAGATAGATATGTACAGATAGAGTTTTAGTTGGACAAGTCCAACACAGTCATTTTATTGTGAATTTACTTACAGTACGTAGAGGTGTGGGTGAAGTATAGCTTCTGTGTCTGATGTTTTACTTAGTTTCTGTTCCAAAATAAATTTTTATATAAATGAAATGAAATATTTCAACTAATTGGTAATGAATGCCAAAGAGTCTGAAGCGGGTCTGCAGCTGAGAGCTGAGAGATGTTTGGAAGGGTTTGTGGTCCTCACCAGCAGTCAAACTCAGACGTCCAAATGTGTCCAGTGTCGTCTCTTTCCTTTGGTTTCGTACGTCGTTTCGTGACTGACACTGTGCTGCACCAATCCCAGAATACCAGCACCTTTAGACACGCCCACAGCCACTATTACCAAAAAACTCACAACTGCTACACCACGTGAAGAACTGCTGAGAACATGAAATGTAAAATCAGTTCATCGGTAATAAGCGTGCAACAAAAGATCTTATTTACACCGTTATGGTTCGCGACTGATTTGTTACGATTGTTTGCATATTAAAGGAGTAGTTCACAACAATTGCTTTTATAGTTCTGTCATCATTTACTCACCCTTGTGTCGTTACAAAGCAAGAAACACAAAATGAGATATTAGGCAGAATGTCTGAGCTGCTTGTTTCATACAGTGTTAATGCCACAGTCCAAAATGAGCACCTTACATATCCTTTACAAATCCATAATTTACATCTTCTGAAGCCATAAGATAGCTTTATGTGAAGAAAATACAGGAAAGTCTTTGTCCTCTTAAAAGTTTAACATCATGAAATTTGGTCACAAATGGATATCAGTGCACCATTTTAATAGTCCATATGGCTTTTCAGATCGTAGATAAAACAGCTGCTCAGACGTTCTGCGCCTTTTTTCATTTTTTACAAAAGAAAGGAGACACTTTGGAACAGCATGAGCGAGAGTAAATGATGACGGACTTGTCATGTTTGAGTGAACTGTTCCTGTAACTACCTGCAAATTGATGCTTCTGATCTTAATGCTCCTAAGATGACATTGAAATGCCACTTTTTACTCTGTGATGTCAGCGTACCGATATCTTCATTTGGCTTCAGGTGCTGATAGTGAACACTGTGGCAGCGTTAAACCGGGTGTTTGGTTGGCTCTCGTGCCACCCTGAACCATCACTGTACACACTGATCAGATCTGGACATGTAGGCATCAAGACTACCCGTCTAAGACCAGTCTCATGAATTCACTGGATCTAGCTGGTTTTCTTCTGCCGAGCTGCTTGAACGATGAGACGTCCAGATCTAACTCAGTTTCAAATGTTTCTCAGAGGTTTGTGCACCTCATCTGTCTGTGTTGTTTTTGACTGATTTGACGGATTTTCTTTCACTTTCATTGTGGTGTTGTTATTTTCAACAATGTAAAGTATTTGTATAATCTATTTCGTACTTGACAAAGAAAATGCTTTTCATTTAATAAAGATTTGTTTTATATACCAGTGTTTTGAGGGGTTTTTTGTATTGTAGATGACCTCAATGCTATATTGTAAGAAATCAGAAGTTGAGAAAACTCAAAAACTTGAGGCAGCCAGCTTAAATATACTCAACATATTGGAAAAATTTTGTATTAACCTAACAGTTAAAGCAGGTCTGTGCAAACTTCAGTTCTAAAAACGTTAAAAAAATATATACTGTAACTTGTGGATTTAAGTTCAATAATCTTACATTTGAAGTTAAGCTGAGCATGAACATTACTGTACATGATAGAACTGTCTTAGTTTGTCTGACTTTTGTATCAGTTTGAGGAAACTGAAAAGCTTATATAGAGTTACTATATTTGTATACACCAATACAAGTTTAGTATATACTCACTGAAATGGAAGAAACGTCATCAAAGAGAACACTAATCACAGTAATGGTGACATATACATAGAGCTAAAACATCTTGACCAATAGCTGATGCCGATATACATTTCCTTTTGTTTTGAAACAACACCAAGTCTCTCTTGTGCAGAAATTCTAAACAAATTATTTTCAATTTATTTGTTAGAAGTAATAAACATTCTTCAAACAAAGTTATTTTTTTAATGAGAGCACATTGAATAAGTATGTAAAATAACTTTTTTTAGACCGATGCAGTTGAAACCTTAACATTTTATTTGTGGATTTAACATTAATAGATGGTCTAAAGCAAAAGATCTGTAAAAATTCAAAAAATCTTTTAGAGCTCCTTATATTTAAGTTTTCTTAATCCATTTGAAAAAAATATATTTCATATTAATGAATAAAAAGGTATATATTAAATTATTTAATTTACAAGTGTCATGCTTGTGATTTTTATTCATGTATAGCTTCTGACCTTTAAATCAATACAGACACGTGATTTTATGATGTCAATTACCACTTTATTTATATAGAAACACCAGTATCTTAATGTTCTTTGTGTTTATTTATTTTTTTTATTGTTAATTTACTTTATATTTTATAACAAGTAGGCCTAAATAAATAAAATGCCTTACTGCTGCTGCATGTGCTAGTGACTGTTGACTCTTATCGCACACCGGACGCGGCATTCCGTACGTTCTTTCTCTAAACGCGGTGATCCAAAACAAATGTAAATCAGCATTCAGGCTATAGTTCGCTTCAAGAACTAGTACACTGCTGACGTGATCTTATCACTAGCGTGCCGATGTTTACATTTTAAGCTTTTATCGGCTGATTCCGATAACAATCCGATAATATCGTGCATCCCTAAAAAAAAGGGCTTAAGAGAAATAGTTTCTGCAGGATTTCCCTGACGTAAAATTAGCTGAAGCTCATAAGGCCTGCAGTGCTGCTTCAGTAGTGATTTGACTCTGTGTTGTAGGGGAAAATCAGTCTGGACGCCTCCTGTCTCTATGATCCTCTTTCATCCACCCGCTCGAAAGCGTTCAATAAAACACACTCAAGAGTCTTTCAATGCAGTCAACACAGCTTTACTATGAAGCAGCACATCTGGAATACCGATGATGCCGATTTACAGTGCAGTCGAGTGGATGAGTTTCTCAAATGTCTGAAAGCACTCCAGACTTTGAGGATTGCACTTTAGATTCAGTGATTCCTCTTCATTTGTAAATCACTACAGATCCCACAGCTACTCTACTGTATGTCTTGAGGTTGTGCTGAAATCTCTTCACACGCCAGTGTATTAATCCTGAGATTAAGGAGTAGATCCCTCAATGGGCTTTTCAGAATAATCATAATCCCACTAATCTTTTAATTGTGTCATCTATGCGATGAATATTAGCTGTATTGTGGACAGTTTTGAATTGAATTAAAAGCTCAATGTGCAGTCTCAAGTCTTCTCTCTTCAAACGTCAGTGCTGTGTTAATATATAAGGAATTATAACTACTTATGCAATAATGTACAGTGGCCCCAAAATTATTTGGACACTTAAGTCACACTTAAAAATTTCTGAATTGCTTTGAACTTTTATTGTTCTTGAAAGGAATTGCATTATATATAGAAATATACAACTGATGCCAATTGGCATATATTTTAAAGAAGCATAATTCACTTTTCAGGCAAATCATGAAATAATACAAAAAAAAAAATAGGGCAACTATAATAGATTTTTAACTATAACTATAATATATTTATTTGAGATACTGCTAGAGAGCTTAATTTACCTGGTAAATCTGTACTTTCACCCGTTCAGATTCAAAGGCTTTAAAGTGATGTTCTGGTTGTTTGGCTGTGAAATGGGCTTTGTTTGGCTCTCAGAGATGTGGTGAGTATACATACATGAGCCCTTTCTCTTGCTGTTTCTTGCTCTCTCTCCTCGTCTGTTCTCAGGGCTGTGCGGTTGGAAAGGTCAGCACAGTCCAGCAGAAACAGCTGCTTTATGTTTTGACTGACAGCTGTATCAATGGAGCTCTGTGAATTGCTTCTTCTCATCACTGATTTTCTGCCATGTAAGTTTGCCGGTTTCCACTGGGGAAATACTATGAGTGAAGCTCAATGTGTGTGTGTGTGTGTGTGTGTGTTGTTGATCATGTACACTGGCAGTGTAGCAGTTCCCTCAGGGAACAGAAATGATTAAGACCAGGCAGATGTTTTGCTGTCTGATTTCTGTGTTTATGATTTTTACTGAAGGTCAGGCTTCTTGGACAGACTAAAATGGGGTTTATTCAGAAGTAACTGTTTCTGAAGAAGGTAACTTTTTAAAATGAATTACAAAAGCAACACTGCACTGCAAATATACTATACAAGGAATAATTAGTGAAATTGTAATAAAAATACAAATTAGCTGAATATGTACTTACCCACAGGCCATGTAGGCCACATGTAGTGTTTGTTTCTTTATGGGAACAGATTTGTAGAAATGTAGCATTTCATCACTTGTTCACCAACAGATCCTCTGCAGTGAATGGGTGCCGTCAGAATGAGAGTCCAAACAACTGATAAAAACATCACAATAATCCACAAGTAATCCACACCGCTCCAGTCCATCAGTTAATGTCTTGTGAAGTGAAAAGCAGGTCCTGAATTTCGGTGCAGGATTGCACATGTATCGCATGGTTTTACTCATTCCCGCAGGTTTCGGGTTTATAATGCAGGAAATTCCCACAAACATTTTATATTATATACATGTAACACTAAAACAGGCAGTGGAAAATGATCAGCAAAAAATCATTTCATGTCACTTTTTATATCACCTGGACTTAAGTAAAACATATTCAAAGGGATTTTTGAAATATTTGATATATTTTGGATTTTATTAGTTGTATCTCCCAGGATATGTTGCCCTATTAGTGTCTAAAAACAGCCGAAGTGATCAATAATTCTATGGTTTATTTGATGCAAACAAATTTGTAATATTCAAAATATGCTGCGTGTATGACATGTCTAAGTGTCCTAAAATTGAGGCATAGACATTTCTTGTATTTTTACATTGCTGAACTGTTTTTCAGGTGTGTTTGATCAGGGTTGGAGCTGAACTCTGCAGCATGGCGGCCCTCCAGGAGCAGGGTTGGTCACCTCTGTTCTACCATAAAATGAGCTGTGTGAAACCCTGCAAGAAAACAATCTAGTTAAAAATGCAAAGATGTAGTCAACTAAATGTAATAATATCAGTTTTACATGCATATATTAACATTTGCACAATTTTTTAAATAAAAAAAAAATAGAAAGGGCACTGGGTACAGGGGGCCTATAAGGATCTTCCCTAAGGGCCCCGGCCCTGGAATGCGAATTCTACTGAGGGGGATCCCCTCCCCTTGATGCGATTCACAAGAGTTTTTTTTTTTTTTATCAAGGAGGTCCCCCTTCCCTAGACTGTGATTCCTACAGTAGAAACATCATTCTTTGAGTTTCTCCTCCAGCATCCACAGAGCAGCTCCGTCTCTGTTTATCAGATGCAACTGCCAGACCAATTCATCACAAAGTGGTCAGCCAGCGTCCTGTTTAGGACATGGGAAAGTCACAGTGTGTTTGTAGTGTAATGTTATTGATAGCCACTGTATGTGATTATTCAAACATAAAAGACATGAATGTTTGCACATAATATTTAATGTTGCCCGTATGAGACGGTTTATGAGCAGAGCTTTTAGATAAGCTGTGGGAGATCATAGTGGTCGAAACATTGAATAAATTCTGCAGTAACTCCCTCACAACCGAGAGTGGAAATAATGGTGAAAGACAATTACCCCACCATCACTCATAAAGATAGTGAAAATGGCCCACGGCTGTAATTTCCTGAAAAAAAAGAAAAAAAAAGACAGTGGACTAATGAATTCAGAAGCACTGTTCTCAATCCACTGCTTAAATTACACAAAAAGCATGAATTTCAGGTTTTCTTGTCCCTTGAAATATCACATTTTTTTTATTATATTTTGCTGTTTAAAGGTTTAAGCAATATATATTATACATTTTAAAAACAATTATAAGCATTTTCTTATTTTGTGGGCGTTTTGTTACAGTTTCTGTTGTTTAGTAAATGTTTATTGCATTATTTCATGTGTAATCTGTGTTACCCTGATGGTGTTTGTTTGTATGACCCTTTTTTTTTTAACATATATTTTGGCAAGGATTGATTGATCAAATATTTATTTATTTATGTACTTAGCCATATAAATGACCATACTGTTATACAATAAGGGAAGCATACAGTATACAGCTCTGAAAAAAAAAATGAAGAGACCACTCATTTTTGTCTTAAATCAGCAACTCTTACATGTATGGCAGCCATTCCATTCCAGTGTCTGTTGAATTCCAGCACAGGCACACCTCATTCTGCTTAATGAAGTACTGATCAGGTGATCACCTCAACCAAATCTTCTTTTTTGAGGAGAAGTAAAAAAAACTGCTGCGGTCATCACTATCCTCTTGCAATAGGACCAGCTGGATGGCAAAAACAGTGCTAGTAGTACCTCAAAACTATTGACCATGCCAAAAGAGTTGAAAAGAAAAGTTTTGAGTGAGGAACAGAAGGGTTCAG